TCCAATTTTGTTTTTTTTTTTAAATGTATCTCTGCTCCCATAAAGATTTACAGTCTCGAAAACCCTATAGTAACAGTAATTTGGTTTGCTTTGGAAACGTATGTAAGCAGTTCAATCCGCTGGTGAGTTTGAACTACTGACCTTTCAATCATTAGTCAGGAGCTAAACTACGACTCTAACAGGGTTCCTTCATATGCATACACAGGAAGACTAACGGACTACAACAAAATGTCAATAGTGACAGCATTTGGATATGGGTTACAGATGGTATTTTCTAATTTGGCTTCTATATACTTTCTAAATTTTCTTCAGTTAAGGATGGATGTATGGTATTTATCAGGAATAAAAGTTATAAAAGTATCCCCAAACAAAGATCTATGCTATTCATTCATCCATTCCTCTAGGTATTTTGTTTTATCATAACATTAAATCATTCAAATATTTTGAGCAGGACTGTTAGGTTCTGGGAACACCATATACAAGTCTCCCACTCCAGAGTTAGTCCATCAAGAGACTAACTCAAATTAGATCATGAAATAATTACATGCCTAAACATTATCAGCTTTATTCGCTATGGAGCTTATCACTGGGTTGTTTTTGATAAAACTTTACCTTTTATTAGAGATAACATGAAATAGAACTATACGAATCAAATTTCAGTATATTTTATAAATTTCAAAGGAACAATTTATAACATTGTTCAACGACCTGTATGAAAAGGCCACAAAACTTTTGAAATAAAGACTAAAATTCCTATTTTATTCATCCCACTCTTTATTTTCCAGATTTTCATAATAATATTAGAAATAGTAGCATTCTTCTGAACATAATGCTAGAACCTAATCAGATTCATCCTTCACACCCTGCCTAATGAAGCATAACGTAAGTCAGTCAGTAGCTATGGGAGATACTGTCATTAAGGAACTTACAGTATAAATTGGAGATACAAAACACATGAATTCTAAACAATAATAACAACAAAACAAGACAGTCAAATGACTAATAAAGGAAAGCTGAATCGTTAAATACATGTAATCTTAAGTAAATGGAAGAGGGACAACATCCATTAAACTGGACTGTTGTTGTTAAGTGCCATCAAGTTGGCACAGACTATAGCAACCCTGTATAGGGTTTTTGAGGAGGAGCAGGTGGTGGGTATGAATTGCCAACACTGTGGTCCGAAGCCCAGTGTTGATCCTACAGCGCCACTTGGAGTCCACTAAACTAGATGAAAGTAGCATTTTAAGTTTATTCTAGTACCAGTGTACAAGATGAACTGGAGTGTGGACAGAAAGTAAAAGCAGGCAATTTAGGTAATAACTTCATTGCAATTCAAGAGCAATGGGATAGGGGAATGAATTAATGTGGTTGTTGTTGTTAGGTGCCATCAAATTGGTACAGACTCATAGTGACCCTATGCACAACAGAACGAAACACTGCCCAATCCTGGGCCAACCTCACCGCTGTTGCCACACTAGAGTTCATCGATGTTGCCACCTGGCCAATCCATCTCAATGGGGGTCTTCCTCTTTTTCTCTAACCCTCCACCTTACCAAACATGATACCCTTCTCCAGCAACTGGTCCCTCCTGACATGTCCAAAGTATGAGAGACGAAGTTTGGCCATCTTGGACTTCAAGGAGCCCTGTGACTGCACTTCTTCCAACACAGATCTGTTGGTTCTAAGGGCAGCCTATGGCACTTTCAATATTCTCCTCCAACATCACAACTCAAAAGCATCAATTCTTCTCCGGTCTTCCTTATTCACTGTCCAGCTTTCACATGCATATGAGGTTATTGAAAATACCATGGCTTGGGTCAGGCGCACCTTAGTCCTCAAGCAAGTGGAAATAGAAGGGGCCTCGGTAGCTTACTGGATTATGAGCTACGTTGCTACTACAAGGTCAGTAGCTTGAATCTTACCAGTCCATCAAGAGGAGAAAGATGAGACTTTCTATTCCCCAAAAGATTTACAGACAAGGAAATCCTATTTAGGTCACTATGAATCAGAACCAAGTTGGTGACACAATCACCATCACCACTGGTGGGAGTAGAGAAGCAATGAAGAAGATGAAGCTGGGTGACTAGATAAGGAAAGCAAATATAAAGCATTAAACTCCATGACAACTCTAAAGTTTTAAGCATAGGTAATTGGGACCCTCAGAGTTCTGGTGTGGTGCTGTGGGTTAATGTGCTAGACAGCAAAAGTCCATTTGAATAGCAAAGTTGGCAGTTCAAACTTACCAGACGCTCCTCAGAAACCCTATGCAGGGTCACTACAGGTCAGAACCGACTTGATGGCAATTAAAAACAACAATAACAATTGGAACCACCACCAAAAATTAGGGAAACCAAGAAAGTTATTAATTTTGAGACCAAAGATGAGTTTCCTCTGGTTGATGGGGAGGGCAATATAAAAGAAGGGAGAGGGCAATATACAAGAGGGAGGGTGGCAGAAGAAAGAGGAAAACAGGTGAAAACACAGAGGTATGCAAGGGCTAAAGGGGATAGAAGTAAACAGTGATATATATACAATGTTGGAACAATGTTCTGAAGGAACATGGACAAAGACACAGGCTAATGCATGTGAGAGGAAGAGTGGGATATGTTTATATACATATGTATGTCTATACATATATATATTCCATCAATATATAAGCATCTGAAAGAGGATATTTATACAAGGGTAAATACCTTTCCTGCAAACACAACTATGAATGTGGTGGTGCACACAGCAGGCAAACTGATGAAAACTTAGACATTATCAAACATTTTAAGGCAATGAGTTGCTGGGCCTGGGGGCTCAAACTATAGTCTCAAGGTACACCATGGTCAAATGGCTTAACATATAGTCCACAAAGCAATGTTCCACATCCTAGTTTGTTGAGTAGCATCTGGGATCTAAAGTTCATTAGCAGCCGTCTAAGGTAGCTATTGGTCTCTCCATGTGCAGAAGAAAGAAGAGTGATGAGAATTAAAAAGACTTGGCATCAATTAGTCCAATGGACTAATGGAACATGTGACTGTTAGTCTCCATGACTCTGAGACCAAAAAAGCTAGATGGTGATTGGCCACCATTACCAACTGCTCTAAAAAGGATATTAGAAGGTCCTGAAAAGAATGGCAGAAAATCTGGAACAACACTCAAAATTTAAAAAAACAAACCAGGCTTACTGGTCAAAAAGAGACTGGAGGAACCTGAGACTATGGCCCTTGACAAACCTTCGGGTTTGGAAAGGAACTCACCCTGGTGGCCCAATTTTCAGCCAAGCAGTAGATAGGTATATGGGGGGACAACAATACTAGTAAAGTATGCTCTCCATGGAATGGTGAATCATTTAAAATCAAAAGGGCAACATGTACAAAGTTAAGAGGGATGGGAAGGTGGGTGCAATGCAAACAGGAAGCACAGGGAGGAAGCAGGATAACTTGTTGTACGGAGGGGATTGCAATCAGTGAGATGAAACACACTGTATGATTTTTGAATGTAACAAAGATAATCTTGTCTGTTCACTCTATTCAAAATAAAGTTTAAAACAAACAAAAAACACGAGTTTCCTTTTAGTCAGAAAGCATAAGTGAGCAATGCCAAAATGCCAGAATTTATAGGTTTTAGACAAATATTAAATTCACTTAAAGCAAAGATGAAAAAACTACCTTTGAGGAAGAAAATACAGTTAACTGAAACTCATCCATTTAACCAATAGTTACTGAATGCCTAGTATGTCCCAGGCACTGTGCTAGAACAGGAATGAAAAGTACAGACTTTAATGTACAAGATCAGATATTGTTTGACTCCTCACCCCAAGGACTGGGTTGGAGTCAAACATTTCATGATGTACACTGAGATATGGTGCTGTAGCGGCAACATGGAGAACTGCCCCCAACATGTTTAAGATGTTCAACAAAAATGATGTGTAACAAGTTTATTAATAGAAATGTTTAGACCAGTTCGTAATTTTTTCCCCCACCAAAGCACTTAAAGTGGAAGAAGATGAGCAAATAAACATATTACAAGGAAAACATTTTTATTAAAACAGATTACCAATCATGTAAATTCTACTGAATTTTTCAGTCAAATCTAGGATTGTTATTGTTGTTAGCTTCCATGGTATCTGTCCCCCATAGTATCAGCCCCCAACTCATGGAGGTCCATGTATATAAAATGTTGCCCAATCTAGTGCCATCCCATGATCTGTTGCAGCTCAAACCATTGGAATTCATAGGGCTTTTATTGGCTTTCTGAAGTAGATTAACAGGCTATTCTTTTTCATCTGTTTTAGTTTGGAAGTTCTGCTGAAATCTGTTCAGCATCACAGCATCAAGTAAGCATCCAAACCGGTGAGTGGTTATTGCACATAAAGTATAATCTCGTCAGTGTCCAACATGGAAAGCAAGAATTCTACCAATGAACCATCACTTGGGGTAAGGATGCTCCAATATTACGTTGCTTTATTGTTACAAACATTGCATGAATTTATGAAGGCGATTTCTGCCCTTGAATACTTCAGTTTAGATCACTTCAGTGTCAAGTTTAAAGTAATATGATGAAAAGAGATATGAACATTGTTTTAGGAAAAGATCAATTCTAACTTGGGCATCAACACACTTGGTGTTATTGTTGTTAAGTGCCACTGAGTCGGTTCCAACCCATAGCAACCCTGTATAGGGTTTCCAAGGAGCAACTGGTGAGCTTGAACCACCCACCTTGTAGTTCAAACGGCTTTGCAGTCTGGCACATTAACTCACAGCGCCACACCACAACAGTCACTAATGTTTAGACTTCAGCAACTTAATCTGTATAAATAACAAGGCTGGACTACAATTTCCTAAACTGTAATCCAACTCTTAAATCCAGATCTCATAGAACTTTTCTAATTTGTAAAATGTTCCTACGTAAACAAACAACTCACTTTAAAGATCCAAGAAGTTATTTTTTAAAAAGCAGGTGACAATTCTGCATTATTACCTCTATGTGCATGTTTGGAATGAAACACATACCTGGAAGTTTAGAATTCTGCTCATTTTTTTTTATTGAGCCATCAGCCTGAAGTCGGTCACAGGGGGAAGAAAAGGGCTTTGGGTCCTCCATCTGAATCTCCAACGGTGAATCCATCAATGTTGCAGAAGTTGAAAAGTTAAATCACTCACCGAAGCAAGCGCTAAAAAATTCCCAAAAAGGCAAACATTTAAAAAGTATCTTATGTCTAAATCCCCAAAAGACCTCAAACTGTGAGCCATTTCTAATGATTGCATTTGCATTTACCTTCACCTTCTGGAAATACCGGCAGGGGGCCGAAAGGGTAATGTCTCAGTCGCTGGCGGTGAAGAGAGGGGGAGTGGGGGGGGCTTGTTGGCGTGTTTTGAGTGGGTAGGGTCGAAAAACGGTAGGACCTGAGGAAGGGGACTGAATGAGAAAACTTTGTGACCACCGAGAAGGAGCACTAGGAAGCTCCTACAGAGCCCCACGCAAGTTGGCAAAGAACTAATATGGCCACGGGCCACGAGCCACGGAAGGGAAGGGGGAATGAATGGACATAAAGACGGCCGCGAGCTCGCTCAAAAAGAAGATGCGGGAATTTTAGTGCGCAGGCGCGTGATTTTCCCGCCGCAGAGACCGGGGGCACTGAGATAAGGGTACTGCGACTGAACCAGATTCACGAGTTCCGAGTTTATTTCTAGTACCTTAAAACCCCGCGCCATAGACCAAACCGTTGGAAACTCACAGTTGAAGGGAGTACGACTCCTGAGGCTCCAAGAGTTCTCCAAGAAGCGACTAGGCCAAACGCGCCTGCGCAACACTTCCCGCCTCGCTGCTTCCAATTGTTCATGCGCACTAGAAAGCTCTAGGCGCTTGCGCGAGAGGGTTCGGGCTCTTACCTAAAACCTTTGCTGAAAGACTTTGAGTCCTGGTGTGGCGCTGTGGATTAAAGCGCTGGACTGCAAAATCATCTAAACAGAAAACTCGGCCGTTCAAGCTCACCAGCCCCGGAAACACAATACAGAGTCGCAATGGGTCGGAACCGATTTGAGGGCACTTTAGTAATAACAGATTGCCTAGGAGAGAGATTGTGGTAATACAAGTCTAAGATCAATTCTTTACTTTAAAAAATTTGAGTATAGTTTAAGGGCCCAACACTGTTTTCAAGGAAAATGATAGTTGAATGAAGGAAAAGCTGAAGCCTTAGTCCTAGATTCCTGACATTTCTACGTATTGTGACCACCCTATTAATAGTTTATGACTAGTCACAGAAATGAGCACAACATTCATTCAGTCTTTCATTAAGTATATATTTGTTGAACGCTTGACCATGATGCCGGCTGGTAAACAAGACAAAAATCCACATTCTGTGAGGATAAATTTCAGTGAGGTGGTGATAATAAAACAAATGAACAAAAATCTTTCAGATTAGGGACCCCATGGAAATAAAAGGGAAGGAGCAAGAGCAGTTTTAGAAATGTAGAGCAGAAAGACTGGAGTGTTTTGAAAAACAAAATATGTTCTTGAGCTTTTGTTTGTTTGGTTTCTTGTTTAGTTTTTGGTGAGGGGTGGAAAGCAAATAACCATGATGGTGGATTATTAAAGGAAAGGAAGTGTTTGTTGTTGATGTTAATGTTGTCAGATAAATGTTTATGTAATAATGAGAATGTTCTAGTAGAGAAATAAATTAATGTGGGAGAAAAAGGAAGTACCTACAGGAATGCAGTAGTAGAGACAGATGAAGGGATGTATACAAAGCACATGGAGGGGAATGTGCCTTTGAAGAATCCAGATTCCCATCCTTTAAACAAGAGGAAAAGACAGCGTAGATAGATTCAGATGAAGGTGATCTGTGTAAGGGTTGAAAAAGAAGGTAGTTCCTGCTGATCACATCATTTGTTTTCTTAATAAGATATGAGCTAAGAGTAAGACAGGAATGGGTTTTACAGGTTGGAAGAATAGGAAAAAGTTCTGAAGAATCTTCTGAGAGAGAAATGTGAACATTAGCATCAGGGGTGAGTGTTTCTAAGAATTCTAAGGAAATTGGTTTGTGGAAGGCTATGATTTACAGTGGGAGTCCTAATTCCATTTTGAATCTTATGGTAAATTCAGCCTCAATTTAGTTCATTCTAATCATAAAAATTGAAATCTTTCAAGAAAGTGAGGTGGCACAGGAGGCACTCACTCATCTCTGCCAAGAATTTGGAAGACAACTATCTGCCCTACTGATAGGAAGAGATCCATATTTGTGGATCGCAGTCCAAAGAGAGGTGACCCAATGGAATGCGGAAATATTTGGACAATATCTTTGATATCCCATGTAAGTAAAGTTTTACTAAAGATAATACAGAAACAGCTGCAAACATTGTCAGAGAACTTCCAGAGATTGTCAGAGAACTTCCAGAGATTGAAGCCAGATTCTGAAGAGGCCGTGGAACGAGGGATATCATTGCTGATGTCTGATGGATCTTGGCTAGAAGCAGAGAATATGTTTACCTGTGCTTTATTGACTACGCAAAGGCTTTTGATTGTGTGGATCATGACAGGCTATGGACAACATTGCAAAGTATGAGTATTCCGGAACACTTAATTGTGCTAATGAGGAATCTGTACTGGACCAAGAGGCAGTTGTTCAAACAGAACATGGGAACACTGAATGTTTTAAAATTAAGAAAGGTGTGAGACAAGGTTGTATTCTTTCACCATAGTTATTCAACCTGTATGCTGAGCAAATAATCTGAGAAGCTGGGTTCTATGAAGAAAAACATGGCATCAGGATGGAGGAAGACTCATTAACAACCTGCGATATGCAGATGATACAACCTTGCTTGCTAAAATTGAAGAGGACTTAAAATATTTACTGAAGAAGCTCAAAGAGCAGTGCCCTCAGTATGGATTATATCTCAATGTAAAGAAAACAAAAATCCTCACCACTAGACCAATATAAAACATTCTTATCAACAGAGAAAATATTGAAGTTGTCAAGGAATCATTTTTGTTGGATCAATTATCAACACTCATGGAAGCAGCAGTCAAGAAATCAAATAATGTATTGCATTAATCAAATCTGCTGCACAAGACCTTTTTAAAGTGTTGAAGAGCAAAGATGTCATCTTGAGGCTAAGGTGCACCTGACACAAGCCATGGTATTTTCAATAACCCCATATGCATGCGAAAACTGGACAGGGAATAAGGAAAACTGTAGAAGAATTGATGCTTTTGAGTTATGGTGTTGGAGGAGAATATTGAAAATGCCATGGGCTGCCAAAAGAACCAATAGATCTGTGTTGCAATAAGTGGAGCCAGAGCACTCCTTGGAGGCCAAGGTGGCCAAACTTCGTCTCTCATACTTCGGACATAAAGTCTATGCTCTTTGATCTTCATCAGTTAGTATTTTAAGTCCTCTTTACTTTCAGCAAGCAAGGCTGTATCATCTGCATATTGCAGGTTGTTAATGAGTCTTCCTCCAATCCTGATGCCACGGTTTTCTTCATAGAACCCAGCTTCTCAGATTATTTGTTCAGCATACAGGTTGAATAAGTATGGTGAAAAAATACAAACTTGTTACAAACCTTTCTTAATTTGAAAACCTTCATGTGTTCCCATGTTCTGTTCAAACAATTACTACTTGGTCCAGGTACAGATTCCTCATGAGCACAATGAAGTATTCCAGAATACTCATACTTCTCAATGTTGTCCATAGCTTGTCATGATCCACACAATCGAAAGCCTTTACATAGTCAATAAAGCACAGGTAAACATCTTTCTGATATTCTTTGTTTTCAGCCATGATCCATCGGACATCAGCAATGGTATCCCCCGTTCCACGGCCTCTTCTGAATCCGCCTTGAACCTCTGAAAGTCCTCTGTCAATGTATGATTGTAGCCACTTCTGTATTACCTTTAGCAAAATTTTACTCACATGGGATATCAAAGAGATTTTCCGATGATTTCCGCATTCCGTTGGATCACCTCTCTTTGGATTGGGCACAAATACAGATCTCTTCCCATCAGTTGGTCAGATAGTTGTCTTCCAAATTTCTTGGCAGAGATGAGTGAGTGCCTCCTGTGCCACCTCACTTTCTTGAAAGATTTCAATTTTTATTCCATC